GATCATGTCGGCGGTCAGTTTGAGAACATCACTGCGTTAAATGTGCTAATCTTCGAGACCTTGACCTAGTAATGGATAGTTTGTCTCCTCTACTAATTGACTAGTTAAAAATGGAGAGGTTGCATTTTTTATATATATTTTAGGCTTAAATTTCATTACAATTTTAGAATTTTTATCTAATTTAAAATGTTACTCCATCCGTTCCATAATGAATGACGAATAAGCATCAACAAGTTTAAATTTGGAAATCCATTGTTGAATTTCTGTGAAAAATATGACTCCCATATTTTGAAACTGCATAAAGCAGTTTTTAGAACTAAAAAATTTATAAAATTAAAGTTGAAGGCAAAACAGTTGGACGCGTTAGGTATGGTGTATCAACATTGTGATTAGTTTTAGAACGAAATATTATTCCTTTGATCTGTACATATATTAAAAAGCTGCTGATTTTCGTCCGCTTTGGCTGTAAAAATGTTAGAAAAAGCTGTGAAGAGGGTGATTTAGCAATATCTGAAAAACAAGAGGGCTATTTCTGAGTTGGCGGTAAAAGGGAGGACTCAAAGAAGGAAAATAAGGCTCAAAAGCTGAACTTCCAATAACAGACCGCCACGTTTACAAATCTTAGCTGTCAGACTCAGACAGAATAAGTTTTTGATTTCACCCGGCGAACGGTATCCAGATTGTATCCGACTAAACCTGGAAAGCGCTTCCTAACAATTAAAGATTAATGAATTTTATTTATTTCACCACAACATTAAGTGGGTGTTTGGACATAAGAATCGTAAAATCCGAAAGAAATAATTTTTTTCAAGTGAAAATAATATTTAAAAATAATAGTTTTTCTAATTTTCGAAAAGTTCTAAAATTCATCTTCAAGTGAAAATTAAAAATTTTATGGCCAAAAACTGATTTCGAAAAAAAAATGAAGAATTTTCGGAAAAAAAATGAAAAAACTTTTATGGCCAAAAGGGCTCTAAGATGGTGACACATAATTTTGCAAGCCAAGAAGCGTACTGACAAATGCTCCGGGGCTTCTGCTTAGTTTTCGGTTGACGAGTAGGATTCTCTGCAACAGCCTCAGCTTTTGTAACGTTTTAATATTGTATACTGTCATAGCTGTTTAGATTATGATTTACTACTAATAAATTACTATTACAACTCATTCAATTCCACCCTTAGTTTATGACAAAACGTGCTTCATATTCATGGACCTCATTTTCTTGAAATGTAGGTGCGACATTTTACAAAATTATCGTAACAACTTTAGAAATTTGACAATCAAAATCTTTACATTCACATTTGAATTGGTCAAATAAATTTTTCACTTTAGGATAATATTGTTAATGGGTAGTTGTTATGCGAAAGTCCAAACACAAGGTTTATTAATGGAAATTAAACAATTAAACGCTTCCTAAACTTTCTTTTCTTCTTTGAAAATTTTGATATATGTGTGTATATGTTGGAGATGATTACTTTCACATTTTAGCTTGTTAACTGTTTCTTATGTTTTTTCGGAACCCTGCATAAATGTGGAATACTTTATGTACCAAACTACTTTTTTTTTTCAAACTATTTATGTTTATTACAATTTCTACTTTAAAGTTTTATGTTACTATCCAATATACATTGTCAAATTGGCACTTTCTCGCACGCAATTATCAAACCAACCCCTAAAAGGTTAAAGTTCGTGTAATTATATAATATTACAATGTCTTTTGCATTCTTGTAACTCAATTGGGAATTATTGATCTCAAATACTACCTTTAATCTTTAAATTGGAGTTGATACAGGTTCACCTTTGCTCCAAAATCTCATACATATACACAACTAGCTTTATTTGTTATTCGTTTTCTTGTATATATCGAAATAGAAAACAAGAATTAAAACGCTTAGTGAAGCAATGAGAGAAAAAGAAAAAGTTTGTCTGCGTGCAAGTTTTTTCATGTACCAACGTACTTGTTGGTTTTGAGAGTTTGACGATTGCTTGTTGATGATAGAAAATGATGATCATCCTAAGAGAATATAGAGGAAAAAATCATTTATAAACACGCACACACACATGACACAACCGAGAATTTCTAGCTAACAATCATTAAAAGTTGCAGCAGGTGATTATTAAAGATTGTGATATTTTTTCATTCTTAATCAGAAGTTTTTATGTTTGGGCGTTGATAATTGATTTATCTTTTGCAGGAAATACTTTACCTCCAAAGTAAAACCTTTCGATGCGAATCCATATTAATTTGACCCAACACGGATATTGAATATCAAGTGGGAAACAAAAATTGTAGTACGTGAAATTGCTCAAGCATGAATTGGAAGAGTCGGATCTCTTGTTCCTATTTGAATAGATCATTTAAGTATTAACTAGTTTTGCGTTGCAATCAAACAACACAACATTAATTAGCTGTATGCTGAATATTAGTCTGTGAAATTAGTGAAGCTTGTACACTAGTCTATATTGATTAATATCTTGTACGATTTATACTACGTACACATTTTGGCTCAAGAAGTTACCCACCCCTTCCGAACGCTAATATTTCATCTGTTCACTTTTACTTGTCCACTATGAATTTTGTACACCCTTTAAGAAGTAATAAATGAAATGCATAATTTATCATAATACTCATATTAATTGAGGCATATTTTTAATGGATTTGAGAAAATATTTTGAAATGAGTAATTAATATTGTGGGTATAATAGGAAAAAAGAAATCGTCTTCTCTTGATATGCTAAAAGTGAGAAGTAAAAGTGAAAGTATATTTCTAAAATACTGGACAAGTATTATAGTTTAAAGCTCTGCATATAATCATCCATATTTTTTTGGCTGAAAATGTTACAAATCCTGAAAAAAATCTTCCAATAACCACAAATGTTGTTAGAGTTCAAAACTTAGTTAGATAAAAGCTAATTTAAAATTTTATTAAATGCTGAACGATATACAACTGTTCAATATTCTTATTAAGCTGGATCTAACCATTCAGTGGAAAATTTTCTATAGTACTAGTGTCTGATTAATTAGCAAATCCTAACTTTATTAAAATCCAATCACGCATGTTTCTCTTCCAATCTAAAAATTATTATTGAGATTTATTGAGACAAATGAATGATAAAATAATTGAACCTTTATACATTTCCCAAAGTTGGTATGAAATAAAATAAACCATTTGTTTGAAATATACATGTATACATTAAAATTCTAAAGCTACCAAGATCAAGAGACAGTTATGATCGGAATGCATGTACATCTTCAAATCCAGCTCCCGCCATACGCAACAACATTAACATCCAACATCTACACGCAAGGTGCAGAAGTGTAATATGAGTACAACCGACCCCATGTACTCGATAAGTAATTAACAAACCCAACCTTACGTTGAAAATAGTGACGAGCTGGGATAAGGATTAGAGTCCAACTCTGATAACTAGCAACAATTCATAACAATATAATAAAGATGGTGCAAGAAATAACTCAACCCGTTCACAGTTACTAAAAATAGGCATACTTTTCAAGTATAACAGTAAATCCCAAATCTTTCACCGAAAAAACCAAAAATATGAGTAAGTTTGAAAAATAGTGATTTTCCCCAAAAACTTCCAACAACAGGTAAAATGTTTCATTATCAAATAGCATGGGGAAAGTACATCTATATGCTTACCTGTCAATGCACATGTGAATATCATGAGTGACACTATATCGTACAACATGAGAAAATGCATCTCTATGCCTATATGTCAAGTATGCATGCCAACTATAATGCAATGCAGTGATAAAGCCATGTGCATACTCTCGGAGTATCAAATGCACTCAGTCCTCCCAATCACTCAATTCTTACAACCACTCAGTCCTCACAATCACTCAATCCTCAGAGTCACTCAGTCCTTAAAGTCACTCAATCCTCCCAATCACTCGGCACTCGCACTCGGCACTCGCATTCAGTAGGTACCTGCGCTCACTGTGGGTATGCAGACTCCGGAGGGGCAGATCCAGCCCAAACGCTATAAAAAACCAATCATGGCATAAATCAATAATACATGTTGCGGCGTGCAGCCCGATCCTATCATGAGTCAATAATACCTGCTGCAACGTGCAACCCAATCCCATCAATATCCTCACAATCAGACCCTCGACCTCACTCAGTCTTCAATCTCTCCAGTCTCTCGGGCTCACAATATCATGAAAATCAGCCCAAAAATGATGATGTGATATATCAATAAATGTTAACAAAGACTGAGATATTATATACAAATGAATGTGTATGACTGAATATGTAATTGCAATGTAAGCAAATAATTCAACAACAGAAACGATCTCAGTGGGTCCCAACAGGATAATTATATGGTATAGACATGGTTTCTAACATGGATCACAACTCAATTACTCTAGAACGTAGAGATTTCATGGATACAGATAAGATTAGGTAATTATACAGTACCACAAAAATAACTAAATCACAATTTATACGGTGTACATCCACACACCCGTCACCAAGCATGTGCGTCACCTCAATACTAAACACATATCACGTATATTCAGGGGTTCATACCCTCAGCACCAAGTTTATAAGTGTTACTTACCTCAAACTACCGAGCAAGCCAAACAATACTCATAGAAATATCATCTCGCGCGTACCGACCTCTGAACGACTCAAAACTAGCCAAAAATAACTCAAATACATCAAACAATGACTAAGTAAACAATTCCAAATGATAAAGGTCGATTCTTTACTCAAAACCCAAAAGTCAACCAAAAAGTCAAACCAGGTCTCGCACCTCAAAACCCGACAAAACTTACAAAATTCGACAACCCATTCAATTACGATTCCAATCATACTAGTTNACTCAAATCCAACTCCAAAATCGATGTTCGAAACTCAAATTTTTACTCTATGAAACTTTTGACAAAACCCCCAATTTTCTCTTTAAAATTCATAATCCAATCACCAAAAACGAAGACATATTCGCGAAATATAATCAAAACCGAGTTAAGAATGCTTACCCCAATCTGTGTGGTGAAATCCCTCTCCAAAGTTGCCCAAGATCGAGCTCCAAATCTCAAAAAAAGAACCAAGGCCCCAAATAAAAATAGAATCTGTCCAGGAATGTTTGCTTCTGCGAAGAAAATAGGCACTTTTGCGGCGTCGCTTTTGCGACCACAAACGCGCTTCTGCAAAAAACCCACTGAAGCTCACCCATCACATATGCGAAAAAATACCCGCTTCTGTGCATGCGTAGGTGCGACACAACTCTCGATTCTGTGACGACCTTTGCTTCTGTGATACATACTCCGCATCTGTGATGACACAGGTGCGCAAAAAATCCCGCTTTTGCGGAGATAGCCTAGCTCAGCCTTCATTGCAGATACGACCACATTAACGCTTCTATGACCACCGTACCTGTGCAAAACCAACCACAGGTGCGTAACACCAGAACCAGCACTCCTTCGGCAAAGCAACATGGGACAAACATGATCTGAACCACGTTCGAAACTTACCCGAGCCACTCGGGATTCCATCCGAATATACCAACAAGTTCTATAATCTAACACGGACCTACTCGAGGTATCAAATCACACATAACAATATCAAAACGACGAACCACATCTCAATTCAAACTTAAATGAACTTTGAACTTCCAACTTCTAAAACTCGCGTCGAAACATATCAAATCAACCCGGAATAAACCTAAATTTTGCAAACAAGTCTCAAATGACATAACGAAGCAATTCCAATTCCCAAAACCAAATCCGAATTTGAATTCCTCAAAATCAACTCTTGGTCAAACTTATGAACTTTCCAAACCTTTAAATTTCCAACTTTCGTCAATTAATGCCAAATCCTTTCTAGAAATATCTAAATACATATCTGGGTATACGGCCAAGTCCAAAATCACCATCCGGACATAACTAAACCATCAAAACTCCGATCCGGGGTAAAATACATAAAAGTCAAACTTGGTCAACTTTTCCAACTTAAAGCTTCAACAATGAAATTCATTCTTCCAAACTAACTATGAATAACCTGAAAATCAAAACTGATGATTCATACAAGTCATAATACATCATACGGAGCTACTCATTTCATCAAACTACCGAGCAATGTACAAATGCTCAAAATGACCGGTCGGGTCGTTACACTCACATTCCTTTTTATACGGATAAATATTCTCAAAGAATTCAACATTATCTAATTCAATCATCGTATTAATATGAATGTTGGGATTTTCTGAGTTATGAACCAGAAAACGATGTGCCTTACTATTTGTTGCATATTATATGAAATCACAATCAACGGTTTTTGGTCCAATCTTTATTCTTTTGGGTTTAGGGACTTGCACTTTAGCCAAACACCCACACAATTTAAAATATTTTAAGTTGGTATTCCTTCCTTTTCATTGTTCATATGGAATGGTTGCATTTGCTATGAGGAACTCGATTAAATATTCGGTTAGCTATAAGAGTAGCTTCCCCTACAAGTTCTGAGGTAAACCAGAACTTACTAACAAGTCATTCATCATCTCCTTTATCATTCTATTCTTTCTTTCCGTAATTTCATTAGATTGCAATCAGTAAGGGACAATTGTTTGGTGAATAATGCCATGTTCCAAACATATTTCTTCAGAAGGAGATTCATATTCGCAACCCCTATTACTTCTTATCATTTTGATCTTTTTGTTTAGTTGCGTTTCAACTTCATTTTATATTGCTTGAATGCATCAATTGCCTCATCTTTACTATTAAGTAAGTAAATATAACAATATCTAATATTATCGTCAATAAAAGTTATGAAATACTTTTTTCTACTGCGAGATTGTATTAAGTTCATGTCACAAATATCTGTATGAATTAAGTCTAAAGGATTTGAATTCCTTTCAACTGACTTATAAAGATGTTTAACATACTTTGATTCCACACATATTTGACATTTCGGGTTATTGCATTAAAACTTAGGCAATACTTCCAAATTAATTATTTTTCGTAAAGTTTTGAAGTTGACGTGACCTAAATGTTCATGCCATAAATTATTTGACTCAAGCAAGTAAAAAGAAATTAAAATTTTATTCATATCAATGGCAATTACATTGAGTTTGAAAAGGTCCTCAGTAAGATAATATTTTCCTACATACATTTCATTTTTACTACCTACAACCTTGTCGGAAACAAAAACACTCTTAAAGCCATTCTTGGCTTGAAGTGAAGTCGAGACTAAATTCTTCCGCATTTTAGGAACATGAAGGACATCTTTTAGAGTAACAATCTTGCTAGAAGTCATCTTCAAAGCTATCTTGTCCGTTCCTTCAATTTTTATAGTAGCAGAATTTTCCATAAATACTATCTTGTTGGGACCAGCAGTAGCATAAGAAGTAAACAACTCATTGTTAGCAAAAACATGACGAGTGGCCCCAGAATCAATCCACCATTTTCTAGAATTTCCGACAGGTTGCATTCAAAAAGCATGACACACAAGTCATCTATTTCGTCATTCTTCTCAATCATGTTTGCTTGGATTTTCTTCTTGTCCTTCTTTGGTGCACCACAGTCAGCAGCCTTGTATACAACCTTTCCATAGTTATGGAAATTACCTTTGAACTTCTTTTTGCTTGGTAATTCTTTGGTCCAGACGACTTCTTTCTCTTTTTGCTCGCCGAACCTTCCTCAACAATATTTTCATCCATTATTGTTGAATTTTCATGAGACTTCATTTCTACAGCCTTGTTTTCCTCTTCAATCCTTAGGCAAACAATAAGGTCTCCCAATGTCATCTCCTTGGGCATATGTTTCAAGTAGTTTTTAAAGTCCTTCCACATATGAGGTAAATTTTCAATAAATGCCGCAAATTGAAACGCTACATATATGACCATACCTACAATTATAAATTTTGAATTAATAAAATAATCAATATCTTTAATAAAAATATTGATTCGATTTATACCTTCAACAAGGAGATCATGATCGATGACTTGCAGTTCTTGAACTTGAGTTATGACAGACTTACTGTCAACCATTTTAAATTTCAAGAACTTTGCGGCAACGAATTTCTTAAGTCCAACATCTAATGTCTTGTACTTCTTTTCAAGAGTGTTCCGTAACTCTTTCGAAGTTTTCATGACACTGTAAACGTTGTACTAGCCATAATCCAAACAACTCAATATATAATTTTTGCACAGGAAGTCAGAATGCTTCCATGCCTCCGTGACCACAAACTGCTCATTAGCCAGAGTTTCTTCCCCCAAGATTGGAACGTCCTCGCTAATAAAGCACTGCAAACTGAGTGTGGTCAGGTAGAAGAATATTTTCTGCTGCTAGCGCTTGAAGTCCACGCCGAATTTTTTTTTGGGATTTTCTGCCGGTGCCATCGCCAATGTAGGCATTGTGCGACTTGAAGACACAATAACCATTGCAGCAGTAGTCGTCCCAACAGAACCATTTTGTTGTTCTATACTTGTTGTCATTTTTCTGTAAAAAAATTGACACAAACAGAATTAGTATCTCAGTGAAGTTTTTATATCTTCAAACCTAATACAAACAACCGAGTAGAAAATCACAATGATTTTAATCTCAAATTGAGTAGTAAGTCACAAAGACTTTAGTCTCAAACTGGGTAAAAAATTCAAAAATTTTAATCTCCAAATTGGGAGTAGAAAATCGCTAGGATTTTAGTCTGCCAAACAAGAAAGTAAGATGAACATAGAAATAAATATTAAATTCCTTAAGCTTGTTAGTATTCTGTATTCAAAGCCAGAAAATTAACAGACGTTAGTTTAAGAAAACAAAAATAGAAAATTTTGAGCCCACAAGTTTTTTGTGTGTCCTTAAGGAGTTTAATCCCCTTACATTTGCCTAAGGTTTCAGATTAAATCCTCCCATGGTAGTATGGAATAATTATTCTGTGATAGCGGCACTTCAAATCACAGAACTTCGGCGAACTCAAATGACGGAGCAAATTACACAAAATGCTTACGTTTTTGCTTTGGAAAAATAGAATGCAGAAGATAGAGGGGAGAGATTTTCAGATTTGGTGGTGAAAAATGAGACTGTGCCTCTCTATTTATAGCCAACAACGTTGAGTCCCAACAGGTGCGAAGGTAGCTGTTTGTTTGAAGAGGTATCCATTTGATGAAAATTATTTGAATTTCTGTTAAATGGCATGGATGGTCGCAAATTTGATCGTTGGAAAATAATGCCGCGAATTTAATACTTTTCCGCACAAAAAATATTAGGAAAGGAAATATTAAATGGCGTAAATGGAAAATAAATTTGGTCTAAAAAAATTATCAATCAATCATATCAATTGAACAAATTTAAATCTGAAGCCGAGGCGAGCGAGCGACAACGATGACGGCGCGAGGCTTGCTATCTTCTAAAATCTCTAAGAGCTAGAAGAAGTACTTCCATATATACGAACAAATTTTTCTCTTCCTATCCTCTGAGGGACAAAGTTCCTTTGTAAGAGGGACTAATACAAAATTTTATTTCCCTCAATTTTTTTCACACCATTTTCCATTCACTCCTCCTTTTGTTTTAATTAATAAAGCCAAACAGCAAGGTGGTAGTTTTTGGTGGTTTACTGTGACGACCCGGCGGTCATTTTGAGAGTTAGAGCCTTGATCCCTTATTAACTGTTTTCCTTGTATTTTTTCTACTATTTTGACTTGCCGGGATGATTCGTTTTGAGATTTCGGAGTATTTTGGAACACTTAGTCCCTAAATGAGAGCTTAAGCCTTAGAAATTGAACCGTACTCGAGATAACTCCGAAATAGAATTTCGTCGATTTCGTTAGCTCCGTAGAGTGATTTTGGGCTTAGGGGCGTGTCCGGATTGTTTTTGGAGGTCCGTAACTCATTTAGGCTTGTAATGGAAAAAGTTAAATTTTTGGAGTTTCGGGTCGGTGGAATTTTTTATATCTGGGTTGGAATCCGATTCCGGAAGTTGGAATGGTCTGTTGTGTTGAATATGACCTATGTGAAAAATTTGACGTCAATCGGACGTGGTTTGGTTGGTTTCAGCATCGATTTTAGGATTTGGAAATTTCAAGTTCATTAAGTTTGGATTGGAGGGTGATTCATGATTTTAGCATTGTTTGGTGTGATTTGAGGGCTCGACTAAGTTCGTATGGTGTTTTAGGTTTGGTTAAGGTCCCGGGGGCCTCGAGTATGTTTTGGATGCTCAATGGGTCATTTTTGGACTTAGAAGGATAGCATATTTTCTGTTTTTTCTGTTGCAGACAATTGTTCTTCACGTTCGCGAATGCTGGCAAGTGGAAGCATCGCGAATGCGAGTAGTTGAGCGCGTTCGCAAAGAGGAAAGGCGGAGCAGCTGGGACCCCATGAAGTTGCTTTACCCATTCGCGAGTCAGGGGTCGTGTTCACGAAGGTCCTGGTAGCTGAAGCTACGCGTACGCGAGTGGACTCTCGCGTTCATGAAAGAGAAAATTTAGTCAGTGGGATTTTGTTCATTGCATTCACGATAGTTGTCTCGCGATCGTGAAGAAGAGCGCATCTGGGTAGAATTTAAATTCCAAAATTGAGGGTTTGGGTTCATAACTCAAAAATTGGATTGAGAGCTCGGTAGGAGACAAAATTTGGAGAGATTTTCGGAGGAAGTTTGTGGGTAATGATTCTTATCTCCTTTTTGATTATATCCCATTAGTCTAAGCATGAATTTATCATCTAATTTCGGATTTGGGGTGAAGATTTGGGAAAAATTTTTAGGCTTAATTTTGGGATTTTGATCGAGATTTTGGTATCGGATTTGAGTGAATTTGGTATGGTTAGACTCGTGAATGGATGAGTGTTCATAATTTGTGACTTTTACCTGATTCCGAGACATGTGCCCATGGAGGATTTTTGGGCGTTTTTCTATTTTCTTGTTTTAGCTTCAATTTCATTAGCTAAATTAGTTACTTGTAGTTGTATTTACGTTATGATATTGATTTGATTAAATTTGGGCCACTCGAAGTTGGATACTCGTGGCAAGAATGTGATATCAGATTGATTTTGAGCTTGTTCGAGGTAATTGGCTTGCCTAACCTTGTGTGGGGAAACTCCCCTTAGGATTTTGGTATTGTTGCTATATGAATGCCGTGTACGTGAGGCGACGAGTGCGTACATGTGATAATTGTTGAAAAACACTATTTTCATTAAGTAAATATCTATGTTTTCTTTTAACTGAGCAACACTAGTATACGAAGCCTCCTATTTAGCTTAGAAAAGCATGCTTATGTGACTTAACTATCTTACTTGCTTTAACTGCTTACTTGGATTTTTGTGTAGCATGTTTAGAGTATAAATTTCCTGTTTTCCTGATACGAACTTGAATAGGATTGTAGAATTCTTTTTTGAGACTGTTGTGTATTTACTTTGGGACTACGGATCGGTATTCCTGGAGATCCCCCTGCATATTTATAATTAGGACTATGGGACGATATCTAAGGAGATTCCCCTGTACTGGACATTTACTTTGGGACTACGGATCGGTATTCCGGGAGATTTCCCTACATATTTACGATTTGGAATATGAGACGATATCCCAGGAGATCCTCTGTACATTTACGTTTGGGACTATAGGACGATATCCTGGGAGATCCCCTTTTGCCATCTCTGTGTACTGAGTTATTTCTTTATGTGATTTTATTCTTTATCGATTGCTAGTATTCTACTTATACTGTCTTATTTCACATTACTTTACCTTGTTATGTATAAAACCAGTAGGGCCCTGGCCTGATCTCATCACTACTCGACCGAGGTTAGACTTGGCACTTAATGGGTACCACTGTGGTGTACTCATGCCCTTTCCTGCACTTGTTTTTCATGTGTAGATCCAGGTTCTTCTGCTCAGCCATACTATCCGTGAGGCGAGGCGATTCAGAGACTTCAAGGTATATTTGTCGCGTCCGCAGACCTAGAAGTCCCCCTCTATTCTCCCTTCAGTTATAGACTTTTCCCTGTGTTTCCTTGTTATTAGACTTCTGGAGTTAGAAACCTTATGTATTTTTCTTAGCTTGTGATTCATGAGATTCCGGATTTTGGGAGTGTTGTTATTTGTCGAGAGTGTTATTATTATATATGCCAAGCGGCATTTTAAACACTTTAGCTATATTTACCTGTTAGATGGCTAGTTTGTACTTTTAAATTCCTTTTTTCGCAAATTGTTAGGGTTACCTAGTCGTAGAGACTAGGTGCCGTCACGACAGTTTACGGAGGGAGAACTTGGTTGTGACAAGTTGGTATCAGAGCTCTAGGTCTATAGGAGTCATGAATCACAAGCTGGTTTATTAGAGTCTAGCGGATCATTACAGAGACGTCTGTACTTATCTTCGAGAGGCTATATAACTGTTAGAAAAATTTCACTTCATTTGATTCCTTTCGTGCGAGATTATTGATTTCAAAATTCTAAACCTATGTCTTCTATTCTCTCACTGATGGTGAGGACACGTGCTACCGGAGATGACCAGGCACCTGCGCCCCCTGCTAGAGCCACTAGAGGCTGGGGCCGGGGTAGAGGCCGGGGATGCGCACGTGGTGCAGCTAGAGCACCAGTGTGAGATGCTACAGAGAAGCAACCAGCAACTCCAGCCGGAGCCCATGCACTTGATACGCCTACTGCTACTGCTACTCCAGCTCTCCAGGAGACCCTTGCACAGTTCATGAGCATGTACACCACTCTAGCCCAGGCAGAGTTGACTCCTCTTGCTCCAGTCACATCTCAAGCCGGGGGAGGAGTACAAACTCCCGCCGCCCGCACTCCAGAGCAGCGGGTTCAGGTTTTTCAGATCCCAGAGGTTATACCGGTGCTGCCTGTAGCCCCAATTCAGCCCGAGGATAGGGCAACAACTTCTTAAGATGAGTAGCGGAGGGTTGAGAGGTTCAAGAAGTACAAGCCTCCTACATTCAGTGGTCTAGCATCAGATGATGCTCTGGGATTTCTGGAGGAGTGCTACCGTATCCTCCACACTATGGGTACATCAGGATCGAGTGGGGTTTCTTTCACTGCCTTCCAGCTTCGAGGAGCAACTTATCAATGGTGGCGTACTTTTGAGTTGGATAGTCCAGCTGAGGCAGCTTCCCTTACATGGACCTAGTTTTCAGATATGTTCTTGAGAGAGTA